AAATAGATAATTGAAGAAATTAATTTGGCAGAACGTTTTTCCATAATCCACAATCATTTTCAATAATTTTTTTGTTTTATAATTTCTTAATTTGTTCGAATTATTTTTTTAAGTAAAAATTTATTTTACATGCAAAACATTCGTAGAAAACATTGAAAAGCTTAAAAATGAAATCTTTAAATTTCTGTATGCCACGTCCTTCATAAGTACAACCGTTAAGACAGATGCTGACATTTTTTCAAGCTTTATTTGATTGACCCCTCAAAACCCGATTTGTGCTACAAAAAAAGGTGATTCTTTATTTTTTGTTGCATCTCGCTTGCATGTTGCAAAATGACTGTCAGTGATTTTGTGTTTTTTACTTACTTACGAGTTTTCGACGTTTTCTTGCACCTTTTCCATATTAAAGTTACATACATATTTACATACATAAACAGATAGATATTTATTTATGTACGCTGCTTTGCCCGCTCTGCCTCAAGCACGATTCAACAACATGCCAAAATATAAATTATTACCCCGCTCAAACATATTTTACCATTTGCATTGACCGCTGTAACATAAAACGACGCTGTAATAAGAAAATTGACTACTCAAATTCTCGTCTTCAAGTTTTATCAACTAGCAAAAAAGGCAGGAAACCCATAAAAAAATATTGGCCCGGCAACTTGTATCCTACTTACTACTTACCTAAAATTAATGTGCAATCGGCAAAATGCAAAAAATGCAGCGAAATTATTATTTATAAGCCCAGCTACCACAGGCAGTTGCCTGTGTTGTATGGTTGTTTATATGGATATGTTTATATACGTATGAATATATGTATGAACACATGGCTGCAAAAAAAAAATTTCGCACCAAAATTTAATTACACAACCAAAATGCAGAATTTAAAGAGGGGCGAAAAAAGTAGTATTTCAAGAATGCAATGTCTGTCACATTTGAAATTTGAACACTTCTCTTTTACGGTATTACATAAGTACGTATGTATGTATCTGCATATAAGGAAGTACATACATACGTACTATGGTGTTCGATTATTCGACTTCTTTTCAAAACCAGTTTTCGAATTATTCGAAAAATGTCAATTTGAAAAAACCCGGTTGCCAATTTTGAAATTAAGAATAAACCAGGAAAACCGGGCTTTCTGCATTAAACATGCAGTACGGTTAGTTTGATGACCAAAATTACAATAAATCTATTAGCAGGGAATTTTGCTTTTATTTAGAAAACAACAAAGGAACAACAAGTTTAAAGGGAAACAACAAACAAATAAAAATGCGTGAAAAGTTCATGTTACATTTTTTTTA